ACCCATGTGACTGAATATGATTTTATGATATTTTTTTGTGGCAGTTATTAAGTGAGTTACTTCAGTCGTAAAGGGAACTCTGTGGTCTTAAGTGTGAATGCATTCTTCTGAATGAGCATTTTTTTGCTAGAAACCAGCAAAAAAAGTCACAAATTGCAATCATGTGACCATAGGATGTTGCAACTTGTTTTAAAGGCAAGCCATTCACCAGTTGCTCAAAATGTCTGTGTATTAGGGATTAGCCTCTTGTAATTTGGACAGTTATGAAGCAACCAATTGAGGGCTAACTATAAATTTCAGGAGAGATATAAAACCAAAATTTTATTGTATCTGTATAAACTGTAAATGGCCTTCTCCCATAATCTATAGATATAGCAGACCCCAAAGACAACAAATTAGACATATTCTAATTAATAATGTAGCCAGAATAAACAATCATATTGGTGTGTAACTTCAACAAGTGTTTTCTGAACAATACTGAGGAAAGGGGTTTTATACGATGTTATGGTCGGCTCCAGAGGATGGTAATAATAAAGTTATGGATTTCTCAAAGTCTTCAAAAAAGTTAAATTCTTTCAGTCAGGACCTAGCTTCATTTTGAGGAACCCTATCCAAAAGTATAATATGAGCCTTCTTTGACAGATGTATTTTAAACCCATGGTTATAATTTGTATTTACAGTGTAGTTCATATACTATTGTGTATGTGTAAGTTAGAGAAAACTCTTTTGAGGGCTACCTTTGAATCTATCAAAGAGGTGACTACTACACTAATTCAGAAATCTGCTCTGTATCAAAGGATAAATACTCTGTGGAATCCCAAAGGTGCTTTTTCAAAAGACAACTGGACTTTGTTTTTTCCTTGAAGATGTTTCGCTTTCCATCCAAGTCAGAATTGAAGAAGCTTCTTGGATGAGAAATGAAATGTCTTTTGAAAAAGCACCTTTAGGACAAGTATGACCTGGATGACTGCGAATCTCCATAACTTTTACTCTGTGGAATAGCTTATTGCTGATTTGCATGTGTTAGTTCAGAAGTTGGCTGGAATGAAAGTTGAGCAGTTCAAAGCTCGTTCATCAGGATACCTTGGATTTGTTACGGGATCTACATTAATCCACTTCTGCTTGGGGACTGATGTAAGACTCAAGAAATTGCAGCTCAGGCTAAGCAAAGAGGAAATACCACTATTTTCGATCATTCCATCCTTCCGCCTTTCAGCATTGAATTGCTGCAGCTGGGAATTAGTAGAGCCCCATTATCTACCTAAGGGAAGTATCTAAGTTATGGAGATTTGGCTGTGTCACAAAGAAGTGGTTTGTCATGATTCCTTCTTCCAAGGCATCAACAAGGTGTTACCTTGTGGAAAAGAGATCTTTTGCAAGTAGATGCCCTTAATGGAACATATATGGCTGATGGGCAATTAGGTTCATGTCAACTTCAAGTGGCTCAGAAGCTGGGAGATTGGGAGCCCAAACATGTGGTATTCTGCATCAAAATTTAGTTAATTCAATGTGACTTTTCTGGCTCAGTCTAGCTTGCAATATAGGTGAAGATCTTTAAGGGTTCTGGTGCTACATAAATATGTTTTGCCAACTAAATTGTCACTTTGCCTACAAGAGCGAAGATTTGGTTGCGAATCCGTACAAGGCAATCTCAGAGTATACAGAACCTGAGCTATTATAATGATCAGTGCATGGTTGAAAAGGATTCAGGATATAGTTTGTAAACAGCCACTACAAGCTCATTTGATTTTATTTATTTATTTATTTATTTATTTTATTTGATTTGATTTCTATACTGCCCTACTCCCGAAGGACTCAGGGCGGTGCACAGCCAAACAATAAAACACATACATACAAAATTTAAAAGTAGAATAAAATCAAATTAAATAATTTTGGCCCTGGCAAATTTAAAACCCCAAACTTTTAAAACCAATTTAAAATTGAATATATAAAATACTAAAAGATATTTAAAAATTAAAAATCTTTTATAAAAGGGAGAAAATTAGGCCAGGCCCGCCTGGTGAAATAGTAAGGTCTTTAAAGCGCGGCGGAAGGTGCGCAGATCCGGGATCCTCCGTATCTCTGGGGGGAGCTCGTTCCAGATAGTAGGTGCCCCCACAGAGAAAGCTCTCTCCCTGGGGGCCGCCAGTCGACATTGTTTGGCCGACGGCACCCTGAGGAGCCCCTCTCTATGGGAGCGAACTGGTCGGTGAGAGGCTACTGGTGGCAGAAGGCGGTTTTTTAGTGGAAAAAAGTAAGGAAGAGTCTACCTTAAAGTATTAAGGAATAAAGTAGTTCTAAAATTCAACAGAAAAGAATTCCAGGATTCTGAATTAGAAATAACTTAGTTATTGAAATTCATCTCATTCATCTCAATAAATATCATTTTAAATATTGATAAAAAGCATCTGCCAGTTTCTTAACGAAAGAAAGAAATCTTGTTTGGAAAAATCACTTTGGATTGAGGCAGCTGCCAAAGAACTTAAACACCTACACACCATCTACAACTGTGAAGAGTCAACAAAGTCTTATTTTGATTCCTTATTACGTTTTTATAATATTTGGGGAAATCCTGACACCTTCAATATGGGGGGGGGGCATTGCCATTTCCCCCTTATCTCTGAATTCTTAGAATTACTGCAGAAAGCGCACATTTTTATCAAATTTGATTTCAAAGGGTCTTATAATGTAATTTGCCTGAAAGTCTTGTTCTATAGTCCTTGATGTTGTTATGAGAAGTTGGAATATAGTTATACCATTCAGACAGTTTCTCAGTCTTTGTGAGATTTACACATTGTATTTTCCCAAACCTGTTAGACAAGTTTTTAATTCTTTATTTGGACTGATTGATCTTTGACCTGTAAGGATCTAGCTATTTACATCAGACAGCTTTTGTGGTTCTTCAGTGACTTTTACATTAAGCTAGAGCAGGGGTCTCCAAACTTGGCAACTTTAAGACTTGTGGACTTCAACTCCCAGCAAAACCGGCTGAGGAATTCTGGGAGTTGAAGTCCACAAGTCTTAAAGTTGCCAAGTTTGGAGACCCCTGGGCTAGAGAAACATGCCTTTAATTTGCCTGCCTTAGATTACAGTACTTCCTCAAAGGGAAATGCTTTCTGCCAATGCTGAGTATTCTATCTTGGAAATCCTCCGCACATATGGGTACTCAGAGATGTAATGTGATACCTTTTTTAAAAAAAAAAACCATACATTTATGTCCAATTCTGTGCACCCATCATGCTGATCATTTGTTATGTGAGATTGATATTCCAGAGGTTTTTCCTCCTACTCAAGATGACTTTCACTTCTCAGCTCATTCTCTGCCCTTTAGTTCAGGGGTTCCCAACCCTTGGGCCATGGACCGATACTGGCCTGTGGCCTGTGTGGAACCAGGCTGCACAGCTGGAGGTGAATGGTGAGAGAGTGAAACCAAAACCACTCTTTTTAAAGTGAAATAACAATATAAAACACCAATTATATATGATGTAGTGGTTAAGGCATCATGCTAAAAACAGGAGACCATAAGCTCTAGTTCTGCTTTAGGCACAAAGCCAACTTTGGTAACTTTGGGCCAGTCACTTTCTCCCAGCCTTACGAAGGAGGCAAGAGCAAACCGCTTCTGAAAAACCTTGCTAAGAAAACTGTAGGGACTTGTCCTCAGACACAACTGAATGGAGGAAAGGGAGGCGGGGTGGGAAGCACTGAGGAAATGTGGACAAGATGGAATATATGCTATGTGCTCCATAGGTAAGCATCTGGTTTATCTCCTCCCACTTTGCCCTACTGTTGTAGTCCTTTCTTGCAGAGCAGTGTTGGTGTTTCCAATGGCCATCTTTATTTCCTATAGAGGTATTCTATTAGAATCAGGACATTTGCATACAATTCCAGACTGGCCTTTAAAATTAAGTAATATTAAATAAATAAAACATTAAATAAAATTGATATTAAATAAAACATATCTTCAACAACCAGACTTGACAGGCTTCAAGTACCTCTGCTGATCCTCTGATTCAGGAAGGTTTTTGGTAGATCAGTAACTAAGGGAAAGAAACCTGACTTGGTTAATTCTGAATATACTTATAAGGTGATGCTACAGTCAGGTTGCTAAAATATAATCCATTCTTACTGATGATTAACTTTGCATATTGCCTCCAAGGGGATCTATGTGCATCTGAGTTCCAAAAGATCTAATCCATTTCCTCTCCACAATTAAAAATACCTAAGATGACAGATAGAAACCATTATTAAACCATACCAAAACAAAGGCAGTAGTGTACACACACTGTGCATCTTAAAAGGCAGTCTTTGATGTATCTTTCATCATCTAAATCTCCTAGAATTTCAGGCCAATATGTAGCTGTATTTCCAACATATTTGGAAACCATCAGCTTGTATTATTGCAGGACAGGTACTCATGGACAGTATGGAACTTTTAGTACCTAATTTATAGCCTCAGATTGGCAGGTATCCAACATTTCAAACTTTGGGGCTTTTTGGTGGAGGGGGCTGTTCAAAGGATAGAAGTGATGTCTTAAAATTGTAGAGACTTACAATAACAATAACATCCCTTCAACATTTTTTTTTAAATTTCCACAAAATTGGGCTGCTTTTTTTAGGGATAAGGGGCAAATTAGTACCTTGAGAATTGTGCCTTTCTGAGGGACAATTTTGCTAAATTCCCAAGACTTTCCTATTCAAGCCTCTTGGTAAGGATCTGATGTATTGAATTTACAACTCCTAATTCTAACACAAGGCACAGACTGAACTGGAAAATGTGAGTTCTAAAGCTAGTGTGTATTTTTTTAATTGCTGCTCTGCTAAGATTAGGCTAAGAAATGGTTGTTGACTCATAGCATAGAGTAAGGTGCACCAATTCCGGCTGTCAGGTGCCTGGTGCGTGTTACACCCCCTCCTGCAGGGAGGGAGGGAGGCTGGCAGGCATATGTGCATTACCCAAGAGCTATGTTTAGTAACTTTTGTCTCTTCCTGTTTGTTTCTAGCATCCTTGCAACAGCAGGAGCACATTTTAACACCCATGTGGACCTGCGGACTCTGCGGGCGGTACGAGTGCTCAGACCCTTGAAGCTTGTCTCAGGCATTCCTAGTAAGCATCTGGTTTATCTCCTCCCACTTTGCCCTACTGTTGTAGTCCTTTCTTGCAGAGCAGTGTTGGTGTTTCCAATGGCCATCTTTATTTCCTATAGAGGTATTCTATTAGAATCAGGACATTTGCATACAATTCCAGACTGGCCTTTAAAATTAAGTAATATTAAATAAATAAAACATTAAATAAAATTGATATTAAATAAAACATATCTTCAACAACCAGACTTGACAGGCTTCAAGTACCTCTGCTGATCCTCTGATTCAGGAAGGTTTTTGGTAGATCAGTAACTAAGGGAAAGAAACCTGACTTGGTTAATTCTGAATATACTTATAAGGTGATGCTGAAAAGGGAGAATGCTGAGAAGATGAGGCCTTAAGAATTAGTAGTCCAATCTATTTCTCACATGTTTAGAATACTATATTCATATATAACTACTTAGTTTTACCTGGAACGACAATGATTTTACTAGATTACCATACCAGACCTGCCCAAATTGATCTGAACTCTAATAAATTAGGATAGTGTCAGAGCTGGCAATTATGACATTTTAGCTGGCTCTGGCAAAAAGGAGGAGATGTATTAGGGCAGTCAATGGTCAGGTGAGCTAATAAGCCATTAATCAGGCCCATGTGCTTTGAGAAGATTTCCAGTTTTACTCAATAAAGATTACAGGTGGTTCTCATGTAACCACTTGTTCATCAACTATTTAAATTTACAACATTGCTTGAAAGAATGATACTTACTGGACCTCAAAGTTCTGGCTGTTACATCATTCCCACAGTCATGAGAATACCATTGGCAACCTTCAGCATTTGCTTCTGACAAGCGAAGTCAATGAGGAAGCTGGCAGGAAGTCGCAAATGTTGACCACCTGGTGGTCAACAAGATGGTGCTCTTAACAATGGCGCGGAATTCACTGAATGATGGCAACCAGAACTGCTATCGCTAAGTGGCACTATCGTGAGATGTTGCACTTTTCATGTTGGTTAGCAACAGAAATTCCAGTCGCAATTGCTATACTTAACTGAGGGTTGCCTGTTCTTTCATGCACTAAGGAAAAAAAGCCTGAGTTTTTATTTTGGAGTCAGAAGAAATTCCAGAGAGTCAATATTGTACATTGACTAAAACATTGGACTTGCACTGGGGAAACACAGGTTTTAGTTCACCCTCATCCATGAAAATTTACTGGGTGATTTTTGGGTAAGTTATTGTCTCAGCCCAACTCATCTCACAGAGTTATTGTGGACAGGGAAATAGCACTTTGAGCTTCTGAATGAAAGGTGAGAGACTACTCTAATGAAGTCATTATTAGGTGGCTCAGTGGCTAAGATGCTGAGCTTGTCAATCAGAAAGGTTGGCAGTTCGGTGGTTCGAATTCCTAGTAAAGGTCTCCTGCGTGACCAGGGGGTTGGACTAGATGACCTCCAAGGTCCCTTCCAACTCTGTTACTGTTACTCATGCCATCATTATCAGTTCTGACTCGGCAATTTACAGTTGCTCTGAATTGGGCTGCAAAATTCTCATCTGCTCATTTAAAATATACAATATGGTGATCGAATCCAGAGCCACTGGTGACAAGAAAAATATATTTCCCAAGGCTTGCATATCCTTTGAAAAACTACAGATATATTTGTTTCACAATTTTTGGGGAAGAGTCTTTTCTTTTCAGATGTATACTTTTATTAATTTTACAAGTACAATGAAAGGAAAATAAGGTAGGAATTAAATGAATGTACAGGAGATTAAAAACACAAACTTTAGGAAAGTACTGTAAATACAAAGGTTTCAAAGTGACATTTATATATACATTGGCATATTACAATATTTTTGATCCATTCAAAGTTTTATGTTAATACAAATGTAACTTGGTATTTAAAATTAGTTTATCAACTCTAAACAGAATAAGCTGAAGAAAGGAAATCACAATAATTTTTGCTTGATCTAGAAAATTTGGCAAATGTAACTAATTATTAAAAATTGAATATTGCAATCTTACATTAGGGAAAACCTAAACTTTAGATAACTTTGGACTAAACGAAGTATTTTCTTCTGCAGAAAAAAATTGGGAGGTTTGTTCTAATGGGAAAGAACTTGCTCCTTTGGGAGATGAATATTTGCTTTCTCCGCCTTCAGTGACATAAGCTTTGCCTGCTTGCTAGAGTGTTGTCTTCCCTTGATTATAATATTGCATTTGCCAGACAATAACAATTTTTCTGAACATATTTCACAGTGTGACACTTCCTTGTCTCTCTGCTTTTCCCAAAGGGAATAATGTGCTGATTGGTGCTTCTTCTTTTCAATTTCATTTTTCTCCTTTTCCTTTTCTCAAGGTTTACAGATCGTACTAAAGTCCATCATGAAGGCAATGGTGCCTCTGCTTCAGATTGGTCTCCTTCTCTTTTTTGCAATCCTGATGTTTGCCATTATCGGCCTGGAATTTTATAGTGGAAAGCTACATCAGGCTTGCTATGTAAACAATTCAGGTAAGAGATATTGCCGTCTCCCTTCTGACTTTATTCTAGTCCTGGAATTTTAAAACACTGTACAGCTATGGCTCTAATTAACCTACAATCCTTCAGAAAGATTTGTTCTGTAGGTCTGAACATGCCCTCTGGGCAAAAATATTTACTGTAATTCGAGCAGCAGAAATGGTTTGAAAACAAAACATGATTTTTGTTGTCATTGTTTCCCCATATCCTGTTAACCATGAATCTTGAATACCTCTGTTCACATTTGTATTTCATGCCAAGTCCTGATGCAGAGGTGGGTTTCAGCAGGTTCTGACCAGTTCTGGAAAATGGGTAGCGGAAATTTTGAGTAGTTCAGAGAACCAGTAAATATCACATCTGATTGGCCCCGCCCCCATCTATTTTCTGCCTACCGAGTTCCAGCTGATTGGGAGGAAATGGAGATTTTGCTGTAATCTTCCCCTGGGGTGGGGTGGGAATGGAGATTTTATAGTATCCTTCCCCTGCCATGCCCACCAAGCCACGTCCACAGAACCGGTTGTAAAAATTTTTGAATCCCATCACTGTCCTGATGATACAAGGCAAAAATAGTAAAAAAAAAAAAAAAATCCAGACTAAACTCTAGTTTTCTGCTTTTCTTTCCAGTCTCCTCACTTCTCCCTTTCCACACCCAGGCTAGATCTTCTTTGAACACAAGACATAAGAGCAGCTCAAACCTTTAACTGTTATATTAAAGAATAAAGTATCCATTTCAGGAAAAAAACCCTAACTTTAGCAAATACATAGGCTACATGAAAGAACATAATCTGTATCACTGTTTCCTATTTGTTATTCTCCTTTCCACTTACTCCCATGTACACCTTTCTGGCAACTTTTTCCCTTAATTTAATTTAAAATTTTAATTATTTCTTTCAATTATTTATTTTAAACTAAAGGAATTTTTTAAAATTATCAGGAGGTCAGAGTGCACCAAGGGAGATGTCTATACTTGGGAGAGGTCTATATTTTTTCTCCATTTTTTAAAAAAATGGATCCCTTTCCTCATGGCCAAAGTTAAAACGCTATATTTGGGAACAAAATCTAATGCTATGTTTTGCTAAACCTCCGTGAAGAAGAGATGGTGTATTTGTCATCTCACGAACCTACCGCCACCATCACAAGGAAGGCAGCACAGCAGATCTGGGGAGGGGGGGACATTTGCTACTTCAATTCAATTCAAACCTTTATTGTACATGTGTACAATGAGATTGGCTGAGCCTCCCTTCGTGCAGCCCCCCCAACACAATACAACTCACAGTGAAAGACCAAAAAAAAACAAAACCCTAGCCCAGAGAATCCTACTAACAAACACTCAGTCCTATTGCACCATGTGAACTTATTGCATGTTGGGGGCGGCCCCGCAAGTCAATTGTACTATGTTGCTGTAGAGTTATTTTTCATTCAGGAGTCTGACAGCCCACAGATAAAAACTGTTCTTCAGCCTGTTTATGCAGCTGCCTATGCTTATGTATCTCCTTCCAGATGGTAGGAGAAAAAAGAAGGGCTGACCAGGGTGTGAGTCGTCCCTGAGGATTTTCCTCACTCTTACTTACTTATTTTAGGAATAAACAATCACCAAAAGTAGTGGCCAGAAGCAGAACATGCTTATATATGCTCTCCTTAGGGCCATTATTCTTTCTGATAGCCATCAATACTCTGTAACTAAGAAGAAAAGATCAGTGCAATGGTCAGATGGACAGAATATACTACTGCTTCTACCATTTCATGATCATAATGGTAAACAGGAAGCTCTGAGTTAAGGATGTCAAAAACCAGCAGTTCCCTGGATCTTGGCAGTATGGACACCCTTGATACTGACCAAACTGATCACCATGCAAGGAACCCAAACTTTCCTGGAAGAGAGGAACTAGAGATACTCAAGTGTCTTGCAGACATTACAATGCTAGACTTGGACTGGTTGGCTGGATAATTTGGGCTAACTGTTCTTCCTCAAGCCAGCCCACTTCACAATGTTTTTGTGCTGATAAATTGGGGGTAAGGGAAATCCTCATGGTCTTCACCTTGTGCCGTTCAAGGAAAAGGTAAAATATAAATAAAAGAAATGCATATAGAAGCTTCCTATTTTATTATAACTTTCTTGGTCGACATTGCTCCTTTACATATACATACGTTAAAAAAAATGATTTCACTTCTGTCTGACTACAGGTGAATTACAAGAGCTGGACCCGCCACATCCCTGTGGAGTGCAGGGATGCCCTGCAGGTTATGAGTGCAGAGACTGGATTGGTCCCAATGATGGGATAACTCAATTTGATAACATCCTCTTTGCCGTGTTGACTGTCTTCCAGTGCATTACCATGGAAGGATGGACTACAGTGCTGTACAATGTGAGTAAGGGCAAGTGAGGAAAGAGAGGGCTGGTGCAAAATTATTTTATTGGATATTGCTTCTAAATGGTTACAACCAACTCATTTCATATCATTTCTCACTGTATCTCATAAGAGCACTATATTTGAATTCTCATATCCTCATGTATTATTTAAAAAAAACAATGCTTCTCCCTCTTTTAACCATAATTTTTGATATAGTAACACCTGACTGGCATCCAATTTCCAAATATTATCAGTTCAAATAACATTTATTGTTTGCAATATACTTGTATAAATATTATCCTACTAATTTCCAGACAAAAGTTACAGGCACTGATTCATCTAAGCCACAGATCTTTCCGAGTTGACAAATCATTTGTCTGCCAGCGTCCACTTACCGAATAATAAAATCCTACCCTGCAAATTGATGTCCCATTTTGTGGTATTGTGTCATTATATCAATTCTATTAAAAAGCTACTGTATAATTTCACCCTTTTTCAGTTGCTGAAAAGGGTCCTTACCATTCTTTCAGGACAATCACCGCTGCTTTTAATCATAAATGTGAAAGAATCAGTTTAATACCTGCATTTGAGTAGAGATTTCTTTCTTTCTTTCTTTTTTCACCTTTGCTATATGGCATGCTCTATAAACTTGTACAGCTGCTGTCAAAATATTGGCCAAGCAGGCACTCACAAGGCATATAGGTTTATAACAGAAATTAAGCTTCTGACAGAGTAAATCTGTTGCGGGCAAGCAGAGTTGGTAATTATCTAAACGAAGGCTTTGCAGCCTTCTCCATCAAATTCTTCCTGTCCCTTCCCATCGCCTCCTCCCCTTCCTTGTCATGAACTGCACTACTCTGTGTATTGAAGCAGCATAATTGCATTATAAGTACTTGACATAACTCCTATAGGAATTTGATCATGTAACTGTGCTTAAAGGCCTGGCAAACGCCCACGAGTGTGGTAGGCAGTGAGGAGAATATCGCTTTTAATGATGGTGCCGAACTTCAGGCATAGTGGCAATGCTCTCCCTGTTGGGAAGGAGTGGTGCCACCAAGTCCTAGATTTATACTTTCGCCTTTTTTAACTGAGAAGCAAATCTCTTGATTTTTGGTTCCCGCTGTCCGTGCTACTGCATATAGCTACAAATACCAACCCTTGGCAACTTGGCAGAGTTACTGTAGAGATTAATGATTAGGGTTCTGTCTGAATGTGAGACAGAGAGATTGCACTCTTACATGCTGCTTTCAGTTTTGAAACTAGAAATAAAATGGATATTGGAAAAACAGGTTATTTATTATGCCTTATTTATTAGACATTTTCCTCAGAACAATATTTGAGAGGGGAAAAAAAGACTATGAACACAAACTGTATACTGCAATTTCTCTATCATGTCAACTAGGGGCGGCTGACTTCTGACTTTTCTCTCAGGAACTGGAGCGAGGAGGTTCATGGAACTGGCATACTGCAGTGAATTTATTTGAAGCTTCAATTATGGTTTTTTTCCCCTACTTAAATAGTTTTAATTACAGTATGTGTTTTCAGTTTTGTTTGCCACCAAGAGTTCCTCCTGGTATATGGTTAGCTATATAAATTTGTTAAATAAATAAATAAAGCTGCAAGAACTTGGTTTAAAGTATCTGGACAGCAGCAAAGAGATACAGAAAGCCTAGTTCTTTGTGGCCAAATAGTAGACATATAGTTTTAGAAGACTGATATAGATATGATAACATATGCAAAAATATAGATGCAGCAGAAAGGCTGCATCCCATTATCCTCAGATAAATACACTTCTGCTATGCTAAGAATGGATCTATTTAGCCCATGTAAACTAGAAATGAGTCCTCATTTAGTGACTGCCCTGCATAGAGACTGTTTGCAATTATGACATTGATGAAAAAAAATATCTTTGCAACCGATCCTCACATTTACAACCTTTGCAGGTCTGTAGAACAAAAGAAAGCTGAAGTAAGATTATAAAGACAGTGTAGGAGATGACCTGGCTGAGCCCAAAGGAGAGGGTCAAATGATCATCAGTTTCAAGTCCTTCTCACCCAAAAGAGATCTAAGTCCAGCCCACCTTGAATTCCATTGACTCTTATCTAACGCCAGTTTGCTCTGACCATTAGTACTTCAGATTCCTGTGGCTTGCAATAAATCTTTATATTCATTTGAACTGCTTGGGTTTCCTGATTTCCACACTTGACAGACAGATATGGTTTCACTTAGCAGCTGCTTTACTTAACAATGAAATTCATGTTTACTATGGTGAGGTAAGAGTTCTGCAATTTTTAATCTCAGGAAAGTAAGCTTAGAACTTCAGGATGCTAATCTCACTCTCTTTTTGTTCTATTTGACATGTAGAGGTTGAGTGGATGGAATTCATCTATGGAATTAATGAATGAAATGAATCTTTGTTTGTCGAGGTTTTCCACTGATGATGCATCCTGATTTTCCAAAGTCCTCATTTGTACAGAAGGTTTCCATGGATAACGAAGGCTCTGCATTGCCATAATCATCTTTTTATGCAGGAGTGAAAAGAGGAAGCAGCTAGGTCCTCTTTTTTCATCCACATCTCATCTCCTGCCCATTCATTAGCTTTTAGCATATTTGATTATTAAGAGGATTCCTCCCTAAATTCATAAATATTTTTTTAGAGAGAAACTTAATCTCCCTTTTTAATAAGTGCAGTAAATCCATATTTTGAAAACGGAGATTTGTAGGTAAAAATTTCTATGCCAAAACTCAAAACTTTGTACTATATGTGTACTGTATATTGATTGGGGCAATTTAAGAATATTTGAATGGGGCTATTTTGAGACCGGAGCAATACCATTTCTGCTTTGACATATTCAAGTAATGTTATGTCTGTTTGGAGCTGCATAGAGTGGGTAGTCAGCATGACTGGAGGAAAAAAGTAATATTTTTCTAAAATAATTCATCTCAGTGTTATTTTTATATTGCACATTTTGACTGGAGTGATTTTTATGTATATAAATGTAAAATAACTGTAAATGAAAGATAACATCCTCTTTTCGCATTCATTATTCCACTTTTCTATCCCTGCTTATAATTCCCGTTAATAATTATTCATCCATTTATGAATTGTTAATTCCTCTCTAGAGGAAATAGATACAGAACATATCATTACATAAGTCGTCCAACTGGGGGAGAAATTTAAATTGCCTTTATTCATCAGCTGGGAATTCTCATCTTGATTGTCATATACATTGGGTCAATTATCTTGACTTTAAGAAAAACTGCAAATATTACATTTTCTTTTTGCAGAAACCCCATAACATGTTTTACACTGAACTTTAAATGTGCTTGATGGACATTTTGGCTAAAGTGGAAAAATTATGTTTTTGAAAAACTGGGAGGAGGTGTGATTTCTGGAAGGATTAAAGTGACACATGCAATGAAGTTATTCACCTTTCATTCAAACCCATAGTTTCCCCTTATTTCTCTTTGCCCTGTTCAATTCATCATTTGCTTTGAATCAATCTGTCTATACGCTACTAAAACTCTCATTCCTATAAGCTTTAACTGGGCAAAGTGGTGAATCACAGGGTAATAAGTTTTGAACCATGGTACCTCAAATGTGCTAATTTACAGAATGCACCCAAAATTAGCAACCAGTGACTCCCATGGAATTGAACTTTGACAAATTTTATAAAACATTCCATGACATAAACCTTATCATAAAACAGTTTATGATACAAAATGTCACATAACATTCCTGGGTTGATGTTTGACTATGCTATACAGTTCAACACAAGCTATTTTCAAGGGAAATAATCCCAACTTTTCCAGTGAGGGCAGCACATTACACATTGGTCACTGTTGAAGATATTGAGGAATCTGATAGAATATCTCTGAAAGATTAATCCAACGAGACATGGGTTATCTAATGTAACATGTATTCAGCAACTGTGCTTTCAAGTACTGTTTCTTCTTAAAGGATTTGCAATCGATTGGCACTTTATTTGGGCAGGAGACTGAGGTGAGATTGATTTGGTGAAACTGAACGCATCACTTCACACTAAAGTAGGAGACACAATTTCTGCTGCACGTAGAAATTCTACGCAAGTAAAGAACTGAAAATAAAAGAAAGCATGTCTACTCCTAGTGCTAGTAGTCCCTAGTGGGACCTATTAGGTTAACCTAAAGACTAAATATCTGCTACAACAACACTGTTCGGCTAGTTTTCAAAATGCCAGGAGGCCATATAGAGGGTATTTCATAAAAGGGGTATAGCTGCTATCTAAGTGCTTTGGAGATAGCAAACTCATGAAATAAGAAAAACATGGATTTCTAGAATGTCTCTATTGCTAGCTAGGTAATTTAATAGAATCTTAAAAGTCTGCCAAAGCAATCTTCCAAATCATCTTATATTTAGCAAACGTAAGGTGGGGTTCAGGGGAAATAAGATGAGTTTTATTACACTTCTATCTTTCTTGGTCTAAGAAAGTGTTTCTACAATAACCCTATTCCCTTCTCCACATTTGAAGGGTCTGGTGGACATTCCATCACAGTGGCACGAAACCAGTCATAGATGGTGATCTGCCATATAGTCCCTCTCTTGGTGACCAGACCAAATGGGCAGATTCAGTTGCCTGATGTCTCCTGGTACTGCAGGAAGTTTCATAAAGAGCTTTAAAGATGATAACCAGTGTTGTGGTCCGCCAGACTCAGATGATGAGGAGGTTGGGGAGGAACTTGGGCCAGTTCTGGAGTCTGGGGAAGGCTCTATTGGATGCTCTGTGTTGGACACAGAGATAAAGCCAAGGCCGTCTGACATTTCCCAGCCACTGGAGAGGCAGCTACATTTGGAGACTGATATGAGTGAGGAGGAAGTACAGCTGGGCCCTGTTCCAGATGCACATATGCAGAGCAGTTAGGTAAAAGAGGGGAACAATGGAGGACAAGGAGTCGATTCAGGAAGCAAAGCACACATGGACATTGAATGGCCCTTCCCTGGCTGGGGAATAAATAGAAGGAAAGGGGATTCCTGA